TTAATTGGCGTATCAGGCGCCAACTTCCCACGTGTTTGACTCAACAACAACACCTTGCTCAAGCCTGCGAGTTCTTAGCGTACATACTTTTTTACGTCGTGTACGTCAGCGTTTTGAGGGACGTAAATTTTCACAGCATCCGAGTGCTGTGGGTGTCTAACCAAGACAAGAAGCGGGTTTTCCCGTGGCTTGGTCTCGATAAAAATTAACGAAAAAGGAATGCTATTCTGTAATATATGTTAATATATGTTGTAACTGCTATATATTTGTCGGGTAATTTTAAAATCCTTTTATGTTGCTGGTTAGTCCCTTCTTTTAATATTGACATGTATGTTGAATTCTATGGGCACTTTTATAAGAAAATCTGATATTCAAACTATCAGACAATTTACTTTTGACAAAAAACCGCGTGTATTAATTTTTTATTACGCTATTTTACATGCCAACTTTTTCACGAATAAGGATTCAATTTCCATTTCTCTAATTATTTTTGTTAAACTCATCCTTCAGAAAATATTTATTAATAAATATTTTTAATAATCTAAGAAAAAATGTATTTTATAAAAAAAATTTAGAAATTGTATTGAAAATTAGAAGTTTGTTCGACTTCGGAGTGATCTTGCACCAGCACATGTTCGTAGTTGAATAAAAATATTGAAAAGTAGGCTTTTTGTGTTAACAAAACTTAAAACATAAGAAAATTATTTTCAAGCCTTGAAATTATTCTTTCTAAAAATGAATTAACAATAAACTTAATAATGAAAAACATGACTGTATTTGAATTTATTAAAATTTACTTTGCTTATTTTTTAACTTTTATTTTATATAATTATTTTTATTAATATTATTAATTTATTCAAATACAAATAAGTTTTCTTGAAAAAGATATGCATTAATGAAATTGTTAAGTTTTTATTATAAATTTTTTAGATCAGATTATTAATTGTTTTTATTAAAAAATAAAATTCATTGCTTGAAAATAAAATATTGATTCTTGTATTAGACATATTTCTTGACATTCTAAATGATTACTTAAAAATTCATATTTAAAAAGTTTAAATAAAGTAATTATATTATAATAATTAATTAATTAATAAAAAATATCAATTATTATGATTCTAATATTCAAGAAATATTTATATTTCTTTATTTATTTGAACAAAATTTTAGACTTTGTTAAAAATAATATTTATTTATAATATAATATATATATATTCTGAAATAATAGACTACTTTTCATTCATATAATAAATATAAATTATATTAAATTTAGAATTTAAATAGAATTAGAATTAGAATAAGATTAACTTATATAAGAAAAATTTATTATTAAAATATAAAAAATAATTAGACTAAATTTTAAAATATATTTGATTTTTCAAAATAAATATTTATTTTGAATTTTTTATATTAATTTATTAATCTAATTTTAATTTTTTATTAATTAATTAATAATTAATTTAAAAATTTATTATATTAATTAATTAATTTATTAATTAGATTTTAAAAATGAAAATTTAAAAATTTAATATAACTTAATAAAAAATAATACAAAATTTATATATTTTAATATTTACAAAAAAAAATTTCTTAAAATTATTTATTAAATAATATTGATATTTTTTTTAATTAATTTTTATATTGAAAAAATTAATTTAGAAAAATAATTAGAAAAATTTTATATATATTTTATATATAAAAAGTTTTATAAAAATATTATATAAAAAATAATTTCAATTATAATTTTTCTTATTATATAATAGAAATTTCTAATTTATAAAATAATTTATTGAAATTATTTTAAAAAAATTTTTTTAACTTAAATTCAAATTTATAAGATATTATTAAAATTTTATATTAAATTATATTATTTTTTTATTTTAAATATTAAAAAAATATATTATATATATATAGTAGTAATCAAAAATAATGCAATGCTTAAATTTTTTACTAATTATAATTAGTAAAATACATATTTTTTCTTATATATAAAAG